CCCAGGCACTTTTAGCCGTTGATACACTGTTGGGGCTATCAAAAACATGGCGGAAAATTGAGAACGCCCAGATCAAAGGTGCCGACAGAGAGTGGGCATACTGGTTATACTGTGTTACTACATCCTATGTAGACCCAGCCTTAAGCTTTAAGCCGTAAGAAATTAACCAATCACAAGCATTTATTCCCCTCACTCTCACCTGTGATTGGTTAATTTCTTACGGCTTAAAGTTTACAGCATACTTAAAGCAAGATTGTGGACCAGGGTTAAAAGACAAAGTTAAATATAAAAATTGACTACAAACAGGCCTTAGTGTGCGCTTAGTGTGCACTGGCACGAGCAATCGAATTATACTTAGAGATCTCGAGAAATAGTTGTATCACAGCGCAGATCTAAAAGTATAGACCAATCGGCGTGAAACGCTCACTGAACAGCTTTCACCGCTGAATGCAGTGAGTCTGTTCCTTTCAGCTCAACTGGTTGCCGGTTAAAAATTTACTTTTCTTTTTCCAACGTAGGCAGCGGTCAAGCTGCCGCTGCAAACGCTTCGAAGCGTTTCTCCTCTCTTTCTGTTTTTACTGAAAGAAAAGAGAAGACGAATGCTTCGTAACATTCGAAGCGACAGCTTGACCGCAGCCGTAGAAGGACAAACATTTCCGAACTAATACGTATAGTCACGGACAGTCAGTTGAGCTAAAAAGAACAGATTCGAACGTGTTTCGGGAAGTGGCGCTGACGAGGGCGCCGGAAAACGTGGACTACTTGGCTGGCGCGCGCGACGGTAGTTGCGCGGTCGGGGAGTATATATAAGTGCGCGTAGGAAGCAGTGCGCCGTCAATTTTTTGGCCTCAGTCGAGGGTAGAGTTGTGTTCGCGGTGTGCGTTCGTTGTGTGCGTTTACTTTCTCCAGAAATAGGCCACATAACCTAATGTCCATTTCGTGAAAATAACTCGCCTAGAAAAATCCAAAAAAAGGAAAAAATCGTGAAAAAACGCATCTAAGAAAAAAAATCGCAAAACCAGTGGCGAAAACCCACTCGTGACCCTGATGGTGGATACAGCGTGGCGTTAGAAGGGAAGCAAGGCAAGTAGAAGAGTTCGGAGCCGAGCGCAAAGTGCGTAGCCGTTGGGAGACGAACGAAAATTGCAGCATCCATCTACTCACAGTCACGGGAAAAAAAATAAGTATCTACGCACGCACGAGGTGGAGACGCGCGCGCGAGAGAGAGAGAGAGCGGGAAAGAGAGAGAGAGCTAGAGTGAGACAGAGAGCTAGAGAGAGGGAGGCGAGGAGGAAAACGTGCGCGTGTGCGCCTGACTCCGCGAGGTAGAGAGAGAAGAGGCGAAGCGAGAACGCGTCGCGCCGACGAAGAGGGAAGCGTACAATTCCGTCTGCCTGCTTTGCCAGTGAGAGAGGCACCCTGCAGCCGCCGCCATGAATCCTGGAGCACCCAACTACCCCATGGCCTCGCTCTACGTGGGCAACCTGCACACCGACATCACCGAGGCGATGCTGTTCGAGAAGTTCTCGACGGCCGGGCCCGTGCTGTCGATACGCGTATGCCGCGACATGATCACCCGCCGCTCGCTCGGCTACGCATATGTCAACTTTCAGCAGCCGGCCGACGGTGAGTCGTGTCCTCTCGTCATCGTTGCTATTATTATTGTTATACCGTCGCTGGCGCCGTTTCCACGGCGGCGACGGTAAACGTGGTGTTGTGCGGCGGGCGTCGCGTCGCTCCGCGCGAATCGCCACCTGCTGCGTGCGGGGTCTCACATGCGCCGCGCGCGCGAGCGCGCGCCCCGTTGGCTCCGCGTCGCTGCTCTCCGCCGTATACACAGCACGGTAGACTGCGCATTAGACACGCAGGACTGTGAAACTGCGTGGATTAGAACCCGGTTAATCGAGCCCGCGGTAATCTCGATCCCCGTCCGCTTCCCCCCCGGCTGACCGAGTGCCGATCTCCATCTTGCGATTCCCGACCACCGACGCGTAATTCAATAGCGGCTTAACGGCGGTTAACGGATATATCGTGGAAAGGGGAGCTTTTCCCTCTTTCTCTCTTCGTTGCGCGCTATCGGGAGACACGACGTCGGAATTAAGTAACCGAGATAAAGAAACAACTGCGACCGTGCGATTTCAAGATTCGCGACTCGATAAGTTTATTTGTTCAAAGAGGAGAGTCACCTATTATGAGATAGGCATCTACTGTGCGATTGCGGATTTTCAACGTCCAAATTCAATCGCGAATCTTCTTTTAGCGACAATTACGCGATCTAACAGTGAATTTTCCACCAAACAGATTTCACTTCAGGGGCAATAAATTCATGGTGGAACCAACAGATGACATCTATTTAGCAGAAACTCCGCTCTCTCATATTAGGAGCCTGTCTTGTAGTAGGAGATTTTCCTCTACGTTATTATTTTGCTTGAAATCCGGAACAGGTACGGTTGCAGAATAGAGGTAGCTGAGAAAGATCTGAAAACGGACCGTTGCTTCTATTTTTCGGCTTTCTTCGACTATAAAACCTGGAACTCGATTTCATTCGAAGGAGAAACGTATGCGAAAATTCGGCTCTTACAGAAAAGTTGATTGGCTGTTCGCATGATTTTTTCGCCAATCCACTTTTAATCTTTCTGTGAGAGCAGAGTTTTCGCATACGCGTTTCTCTTTCGAATAAATTAAAAAATCGAGCCCCTGATCTACAATGATGGCCTTGGCGATTAGACATTCGAAACAATAAGATTCATAAGGCTCTGACGTGAAATCACATTTCGAAGGAATAAATGATATAAGAGCCAAGACAGGATGTTAAATGATTTTAATTTTTAAGTTTATCGCGGAAAATTTACCACAGCCAGGGTTAGAAACATTCTATTTTGTACAAGCAAATCAGCGCGCTTGAAAAGTTCGTCGCCGACTGTACAATGTACAATTTATCGACTTAGACAAATTTTTTAAACATATTTATGGGCTACGAAATAGAATGTTTCTAGAGCGCATTAAAGATCAGGCTTTAGGATTTCGATTTCAGGTAGAAAAAAAAACTGAAATTTATTTTCCGTGCGCGAAATATTTGTCCTGTCATAAGAAACGTTCAAGATATTTTTCACTTGGCCCGTGTATTTGTTCTTTTTCATGTCGTCTCTATTCTTTTTTCTTTTCCACCCGAATGCGGTGTACTAGAAGGTGAAACGAATCTTCGGTTCCGCGTTCGAGCGAGTTTTTGTCTCACATGAGGTCTCGCATACATTTTTCCTCCTCAAGTAAATCCGAAACCGGCTACCCTATAGCTGTACCAGCGTCGTGTAAAGATTTGTGAAAAAAACTCATACCCGTTACATTCAAAAATAACGATGAAGCAACCACTCCCGAGGACAGGAAAAGGGGAAAAGCAGAATGAACTTTAGTTTCTTTCCTCTATCTGACTTAGGGTTTTGCCGCGGGTCGAAATGCCAAAAAGAAGATAAAGGAAAACGTCCGTTTCCCGAGTTTCCTTGCTGCCTGAGTTTTGCACAAGACCGCTCTCCGTGTTGGAGTATAGAGGAATGTTCCCTATTATGAGACACGTTCTTAATATGAGATAGCGGGGCTTCTGCTAAATTAGCAAGTATCATCTATTGGCTCCACCACGAATTCATTGCTCCTGAAGTGAGATCTGTTTGGTGGAAAATTCATTGTTCGATCGTGTAGTTGTCGCGAAAAAATATTGGCGATCAAACTTGAACGTTGAAAATCTGCATCTCACATTAGAAGTCTATCTCATAATAGGGAACTGTCCTCTACTGCCGTGGTCAACCAGCATTATCATGGTCTTTTAAGACGCTGCTAGAAGATGAACACCATAGATTGTAGCTCCGCATTATCTATATATTGTTAATTTGTATAATTGATTATTTGAAATTTCGTAACGTAAAAAAATTCTATATTCGAGTTTCGAATAATACACTCGTAATACATTAATATGAATTATATTATTGTGTAAAATTTATATTATAGATAAAAATAATTTGCAATTTTAATATAGCATTTTCGCGGGGTAAACCGAGGGCATTGTGGTGTACAGATTTCAGACATTACTAGGCACCTTTTGGCCATTAGTGGGTGTTATTTGGCCTTGCTGGGACATTATAAAGAATCTGAAATAACAAAACACAAGATAAAATAAGATAACAAGAGTAAGTAAGTGCCCGCTGGACATTAGTAGCCGTTAGTAGGCATTGATAAGTCCACGGAGAGCGTGAAAAACTCGGGCAGCGAGTAAAATCGAGAAACGTTTTCCTTCGTCTCTTTTGGAATTTTGACTTGAGGGCGAAACCCTGAGTCAGATAGAGGAAAGAGACTGAAACCAAATTGTACATTCATTTCAATTAGAATTTGTTAATTTCAAACGTCTGCTTTTTCGCTCCTCAGATTGAAAATAATTCGAGTTAAATTACAAAATAAAATCTATTAATGTTGATGATTTTATCCCTTGACGCAAATAAATAGATGCCTAATTAATAACGAAGAAAACATATGAATATCTTCTACATGATTTTGGTCAGCGGTTTACTCTCCCTCGAGAATTTTAAATGATACAAGTAACTTACAATATAAAGGCGGATAAATATAACAATGAGGTAAAAAGTGCGCTACTCAACGTGGTGCAATAAGGAGACGATGTTATTTAATCGTATTACACAATGTTACGCACTTATGATAATGAAAATTCCACTGCAGCAAATACACACGATAAGATATACAAAACTTGTTGGGCGGGTAACGTCTTAACTTTCGTAATCACATGTAGAAAATATTCAGATGTTTCCTTCGTTATTAATTAGACAAGTATCTACTTTTTTTGTATCAAGGGATAAAATCATCGGCATTAATAGATTTTGTTTTGTAATTTAACTCGAATTAATTTCAATCTGAAGAGAGAAAAGAAGCAGACGTCTAAAATTAACAAATTGAAAAGAATTTACATTCATGATTTGGTTTCAGTCTCCTTTTCTCTACCTGACTCGGGGTTTCGCCTCGGATTAAAATTCCAAAACAGACAAGAGAATACGTCCGTTTCTCGATTTTCCATGCTGCCTGAGTTGTACACACTACCGCTCTCCGTGGATTTACTCCTTTAATACTTGGAGTATACTGCCGTGGTCAACTGGCATAATCATAGTCTTTTGATACGCTTGTAAAAGATGAACACCATAGAGTGTAGCTCCGCATTATTCTATCATATAATTCTAATAGCATCTGTGAAGCTGGCACAGTCGTCCTTCTACAAATACCAAAAAAATACTAGGAATTTTGAGAGCACTTCTCATAGTTTCTGATAAAAATTAAAAAGAGTCCCGCATTCCTTGTATTAAAAAAATTAAAAGTTTTTTAAATGCCGTGCTAACTTCGCGAATCTAGCACGACACGTCCCCTCTAAAGTAGTAAAACGCGTTGAAAATTATTATACTTGAAAAGAGTTCCCGATAGTTCTAGTCGAAATTGACACACATGTATATACAATTTCAGATCCATATTCCATCAATTAACAATTTTTAACCAATTTGATCCCCGCCCAGCACGACACTTACAAGTTAGTGAAAATATGCCGTGCTGATGACTTTCGAAATTCTAACGTCAGTTTTCGACAGTTCTGCAAGAGTTCCACGCGTTAGTTTAAATGCATTGTTAGGTCGTGTAATCGTCGCTAAAGATTCGTGATTGAATTTGGGTGCTGGAAACCTGCAGTCTTACATTAGAAGCCTATCTCATAATAGAAAGAAAATCGTGGTCGCTGTGCAATAGCTTATTGTACGTTGTATAATTCGAGTGAGTTCTCGTGCATTCTAAAAAATTATCCAAATTAAAGACACTGTTCGTTCCACCACAAACATATCCAATTTTGTAATGTAATTGAAAAAATATTGTGAAATGAACTTTTCACGGATGCATCTTTAGCTTAAAAACTCTAGACAGTTGCGTACGCGCGTGGGTTTATTTAACGAGACAAAATTAAAGAGATATACTTTGACGATAAGCATGGTAAAATATTTAAAATGCCACTCAATTTTCACGAATTTCAACGCATTACAGCAATACATTTGCGAATGTTGTGTTTCAGCCGAGCGCGCCCTTGACACTATGAATTTCGACATCATAAAAGGGCGGCCTATTCGGATCATGTGGTCCCAGCGCGATCCCTCCCTACGCAAGTCGGGCGTCGGAAATGTATTTATTAAAAACTTGGATAAGAACATTGACAATAAAGCAATGTACGATACATTTTCGGCGTTCGGTAATATACTGAGCTGCAAGGTTACGCAGGACGAGTCCGGCGCGTCGAAGGGCTACGGCTTTGTCCACTTTGAAACGGAGGAAGCGGCCAATAAATCTATCGAGAAGGTCAACGGGATGTTGCTAAATGGCAAGAAGGTAAAGTAACGTTCTTTATCCACTGTTTTCTTCTTACTTTGCGGAAGAAGGCCGAGGAACTTGAGCGGAAGAACGATAGGCCAAGCTCGTGTTCTTTCTTTATACACTGATTAGGAAATAAAATTGTCACTCGATTGATTCGTTCGTCGAATCCATAGAGTTACATACATAGACTGCCTCCTTATAAGAGCTCGCAGGACAAAATCGAAGAGTAGCTATATTGCCCTTCATTATTCTCAGGCATGCTATCCTCGTTGCACAAAAAGAAGAGAAGGTCGAGTCCTCACATTTCAAACTTTCTCCAATAGGAGTCAAGAAAGAAAGATAGATTGCCTGTGCATGTATCTTTTTTTCTTCTCTGGTCACGACGAGCCTCTTATAAAAGCGATTCAGTCTACGTGTATAAATCTATCATCAAATCACCGATACTCTTTCGTTTCTCAATAATGGATTACGCTCGCAGGTGTACGTCGGTAAATTCATACCGCGTAAGGAACGCCAAAAGGAGCTGGGCGAGAAGGCCAAACTGTTCACGAACGTGTACGTGAAGAACTTCGGCGAGGATATGACCGACGACAAGCTGAAAGAAATGTTTGAAACGTTCGGGACCATTACAAGTCATAAGGTGATGATCAAGGACGACGGCAAGTCACGTGGCTTCGGATTTGTCGCGTTTGAGGAGCCGAACTCCGCCGAGCAGGCGGTGCTGGAGTTGAATGGTAAGGAGATCGCCGAGGGCAAGTTAATGTACGTCGGACGCGCCCAGAAGAAGGCCGAGCGTCAGCAAGAATTGAAACGGAAATTCGAGCAGCTGAAGATCGAGCGTCTGAATCGTTATCAGGGCGTGAATTTGTACGTGAAAAATCTGGATGACACGATCGACGATGAGCGCCTGCGTAAGGAATTCACACCGTTCGGCACGATTACGTCGGCGAAGGTGATGATGGAGGAAGGACGCAGCAAGGGATTCGGCTTTGTGTGTTTCTCGCAGCCGGAAGAGGCCACCAAGGCGGTCACCGAGATGAACGGACGCATCGTAGGCTCCAAGCCTCTCTACGTTGCTCTGGCGCAGCGTAAGGAAGATCGCAAGGCGCACCTCGCCTCTCAGTACATGCAGCGTATGGCGAATATGCGTATGCAGCAGATGGGCCAGATATTCCATCAGCCCGGTAATGCCGGCAGTTACTTCGTACCTACGATACCGCAGCCGCAGCGATTCTACGGACCAGCGCAGATGGCGCAGATCCGTGCGACTCCGCGCTGGCCGGCACAACCGAATCAAGTACGACCGAACGCGCAAACCGGCAACTCCGGGTTCGCGTCGATGCAAGCTGCACCATTCCGAGCGGCGCCGCGTGCTCCTGCCGCACAGGCTGGCGCCCTGCGTAACAACATGTCCGCTAGACCTATCACAGGTATTATTAAGAAAATTAAGAATGCAATATTACGATACACCTGTGACCCAGTAATTTACCTTTGTTCAAACCTTGGTAGTGTTTACTCATCCTGATAAAATGATAATTAAAGAAATAATCTGATACGTGTCTCGATACTTATCGAGATATGTATCAGACACACCGACAATATGTTAAACCTATATTAATCCTAAAGAATATATTTTTATATATTTATTACAATTATTTGTGTATTACATTGTATATTATATTTGGAAAAGGTAACAATTTTTTTAATAAGAAATAATTTTTGCTTGCGAGAACCGCATGAAAAGTGAATTCCTACCTGCGGATTAGTTGTGTCGTAACAATGCGAAAGGGAGAAGACAGTTAGAGGGACCTCAGTCCCTTTCAATTTTCTATCAATTTACCAACCGTCGCTTAACTTTAATCTTAGTTTAATTCGTATTTGTCTCTTACTAAAGTAACAGTTCGAAAGAGACAAAGAACGAATTAAACTAAGCTTAAAATTAAGCGACGTTGGTGAAACCGAGCCTTAACGGTCAGACGTGTTATTGTCAGTCAAGCGACAACCGCCGTGTAGAAAGCATAAATTGTGAAAAGTGGCGCGTTACAAAATGGAAGGTATCAGTGCAGAAGAAAATTTGGTTATTGAAAATGAAGAACGTTTTAATATGTAAATAATTGTAATAAAAATATATTTTTTAGGATTAATATAAGTTTAAAATATTGCATAGTAATTTAAATAAGTACACGTTTTAAAAAAGTAAAAAAAAATGGAAAAAGCAGGTCTTGAACTCGAGATCTCCAGCGTTCTAGCCACTCGATTTACACGACCACGCTCACTACTCGGAAATTATCCGAGCAAGACGTAGACAGCCCAATAGTTTTATATAATATGTTAACAATTCCTGTGTATTTCAGGTCTACAAGCAGTTGGTGGCGCCAACATTCAAAACCGTTCCATGGCCGGGCCAGCCGTTGGTGTTTCGCCGAGTCAGAGCCGTCCGACAAATTACAAGTACACGGCAAATATGCGCAATCCGCCGCAAGCGGCCATGGCTATGTCCGCACCGAATCCACCTGTGCAGCATGCTGTCCACATCCAGGGCCAGGAACCGCTCACCGCGTCGATGCTAGCCGCGGCGCCGCCACAGGAGCAAAAGCAAATGCTAGGAGAACGTTTATTCCCTATGATTCAACACATGCACCCACATCTGACGGGCAAGATCACCGGTATGCTGCTGGAGATCGACAACAGCGAGTTGCTACACATGTTGGAGCATAAGGAATCTCTGAAGGCCAAGGTTGACGAGGCCGTGGCCGTATTACAGGCCCATCAGGCTAAGCAGGCAGTCGCGCCGAAAAAGGAATAAGCGTCTTATCGATGATCTTTATTTATGATAAGGAAAGTGAATTTCGATAAATTTTGAATTTTGATTCCAAGTATACGCGGTGTTGTCCCCCTTTCCTCCTTTTTTTTTTCTTGAAATTTATGCAACTTAATCGTGCCAGTGTATGTTTTCGTAACAGATATTCTTTCCAAGGCATAACCGGTTCTTCACTTGGGAGGATACACGAATGTATGCACTTTTTACGATGAAAATTTTAAAAGAGAAATCTCGTTTTCGGCATACTAGAATGCGGAGACATGTTTTCTGAATCAGCGATCACGTTCTCCTTGTGTTTGCTTATTGAGAGAAGCGGAATTGTAAACAAATTTCCAGTCCTAGAAAGAGGGGAATTTTAAGATAATAAATTTTTCTTTCAAGATATATATACATAAGATGGCTGATGTTCAGCAGATGTAATAACTAAACGAACGGCTTAAGTTAATTTAAATCAGTAGACCTAGTATATAATAGACGGTATGACCGCAGACAATCGTACAATTGTTGCAGCTGCTGAACATTAGTACACTTTTATTCGTTCCTACTCATATTTCCCTTCTCAAAACGAGTGAAAATTGTTTCTGACTGAGGAAAGCTACTGCGAATAAATTACACTATGGCTCGTCGTAACGTGAACTTGGCGTTTACATTCTAGTCATCTGTTTGCTGTAATTTGTCAGAAGATGGGTAGCAGTTACTTAATTCCTGTTATATTTTGCAAATTTGTGTCTGACGCATGAAAAGGTAATTTGTTTCGATACGCAGTTGGAAAGATATGTAGCTAGATGTTAAACTGCAAGCAATTGTACCGATTGAATTAATCGACGATTAAGTTAATTCGAATCGCCTTTACACGTATTTTTTTCCCTCTATAGCGCTACATTCTCAAATTTCTAAAATGCTAAATAATCGAACAATCTGAACGCGAGATCCTTTGGCTACCCCGCCAGAGACGCAAATTATGGGGTCCGATCTCTCGAATCGTACCATTTGCGCGCGTGCAAAATTGTTTGAAAATTATAAATCTAGAGAGCAAACTGCCCGCAGCATGACAACATATTAGCAGTAGATTTGCTCAAATATCGCAACAAATCCAGTGCTACCTCAATCCGAATTGAACTTGTATTTTACCAACATAGTTCGTCGATGTAATTCGATAGCAGAGAAGAACAGAAACTAAACAGATTTTGTCATTTTACCAATATTTAAATGGAAATACGTCATTTCAAACGGTTATGAAACCAGATTTGGGTCAAATTGCCATTGTATTCTGTTGGATTTCTGCTGGTATTCTATATCGACGAAATGTGCAACATGCAAAATCTGTTCTTGACAAATCTGGCTATCCGGGGAATCAAATTAAACGCGTGCTGCACGGAAATGCGATTGAATTTCAAATCAAGATCGCATTTGTATATGCACGCCAATCGTGCGATGCTCGTTGTTTATATCGGCACAATAGACGACATAGATGCCATAGCAAGACGCTTACATTTTTGTTAGCACTATAAAAGCAACTTGTGCTCACACTGGCTATCTGGGAGAGTTTAATAAATTAATCAGTGCAAAAATAGTCATAAACTTTTCAAACAACAGTCGTGTATACACGTATACCCCAGTAGCACAGAGCATTGAACAAACGTTGGTTAATCATTGGCCCAATATTCGGTTGTGTTGGGCCAACGTTTAGCCAATGCACTGTACTACTGGGGTACGTAATGTATGTACTACATATATAACGCCTTCTTTCACGGAGATGAGTTTTCCTTGCACTTTCTGCATTGGATAAGAACGTGGTGTGTATTAGTAAATTCAATTGCTTGCATCATAGTGCAACTATAGTATAATTTATAATTAATAGGCCCACCCTCTGTCGGCCCCTTTGATCTTCGCGGTCCCGATCACGTGGTATTTCCTCCATACACCCGAGTAGAGAACCTTCGATTTTTTTTAATTTTGAATTTGACCAATCAGAGTAAAAGTTACTGAACTTAAGATTAGTAAACTTTACTGTGATTGGTTAAATTTCAATCTAATCCCAATCCCAATCCGTAGTCTGGGGTGCTTTCGCGACGTAGGTCAAAATGATCCGTGCTATGATTGGTCAAATCTGGAATTTCATTGAATAAAATTTCAATGTGATACTACGAAATTTCAGATTTGATCAATCATAGCACGGATCATTTTGACCTACGTCGCGAAAGCATCCCTGATACGGGCTTTAATCAGAGCCTGGACATGCGGTATCAATCTTCTGATTGGTTCACCATGTTCATGATTTTCCCACTGAATTTTGAATTGACAATTTTAATCCACTTTTATAGTTTTGCAAACGACAAGTTATCGCGATTGATTTTGATTATTTTGATGCGTATGTGGGTCATCGCACACAAAGGCTGCGGTCAAGTTGTCGCTTCAAATACTTCCAAGCACTCTTTTCTCCTTTCTTTCGGCAAAGATAGAAAGAGAAGAGAAATACTTGGGAGCATTTGTAGCGGCAGCTTGACTGCAACCAAAATTGCATAGCCGCATGTGCATAGCACGAAAGCCGTTTAAACCAATGAACATCGAGCATTGGGTCGCCATATTGATTTACACAACGTGGACATGAACTACGTAGCCAACGTGCACATTTTGCCAAGTGGGCAACGCAGATTTGCACAATTTTAGTCGCGTCCCGCGCTATGGTTAGATCCCATGCAATCATCTTGTGCATAAAATAATCTCAAGTACATACAAGAGCATCGACTACGGCACAAAACGCAATCAAAATTTCACAAATCTGCGTTACCCACTTGGCAAAATCTGGACACTGGCTACTCTCTGCGTCCACTTTCGTCGGCGAAAATCGGTCCCTAGTAAACCCTACGGCGTGGCCCTGTCAGGCTTCTCTCTGGTTTTGCTATATTTCATCGAAACCAATAAAAATGAAGGACATTTCTGTCCAGACTCTTACCACAGGTTACTTACCATCTAGTTGACACTGCGCATCCGTCAGATGTTTCACCTTGCATCTTGTATCACCACCGGTCTCACGCAGCGCCGGCAGCACAAGTAGGACTCGTATTCAAACGCGAATTTAATTTTGCCGCAAGAAAGAAGAAAAAAAAGGAGGAAGAAAAGGAAGAAGAAGCCGTTACCGTATTTCGTATGATTTTGCATATTACTACCTGTCGAGAGATGGTTCCTGTTAGCGTAACGTAGTGTAAATTTAATAAAACTAGGCCGTAAAATTTTTTTCAGTAAGAGCTGCATTGTAGCTGTTCACATCCTCGAAGGCATTGAACGTCCACGGAAGATATTTACAGCGCGAGGGATGCATTCTCTAAGGAGATTGTCCACTTCGTTTAGTTGTACATTGAGAAACAACTTGCGACGGACCCTAACCTCCCAGCCTGCTACGAACGCGAGTGTCGACAAAGGTAATGCGTTTGAAATCTCATTGGAAAGTACAGCAGACAGACGTTCAAACGTTCGGTACGTGTTTTATTTTAGAAAAAACGATATTGGTGAAGCAGACTGGTAAGGTGACTACGATCGGTATCAACCGACCAGAAAAGAGAAACTGCCTAGACGTGGCGACCGCGCATCTGCTGTCGGAGGCGCTGGACGAATTCGAGAACAACGAGGAGTCGTTGGTTGGAGTGCTGTACGGGGTGGGAGGTAATTTCTGTGCCGGTTACGATCTCAAAGAGATCGCGGACTACAATGGCGAAAACGAGGATAGCATACCACATTTTGGACCACTGGTACGTTTGCTCGTTGTATCCGAGATGTTCCGAGACGGCGCGGTTTGTTTGAGATACTGAAGTTAGCTTCGATTCTTTACAGGCGAACAGAACTGAATTGTCCAAGAAGCCGTTGGTCGCAGCTTTGAGCGGGTATGCGGTCGGAATAGGATTCGAGCTTGCTCTGATGTGCGACTTGAGGGTCATGGAGGATACGGCAACGGTGGGCTTCTTAAATCGACGTTTCGGCATTCCAATTTTATGTGGGGGCACTGTTCGTCTACCTGCCATAATTGGATACTCCAGAGCTATGGATCTGATACTAACAGGAAGGGCAGTTACGGCACAGGAAGCGTTCAATTGGGGAATCGCGCAAAGATACACCAGTTGTGGTTCGGGTACGATAAGGCTTCCTTTGTATCCATTTTAAATGTCGTGAGAGAAGACATGTTACGAGATATAGAATTCCTAGTTTATAAGATAAACAAGTAAAGTTAAATCAGTACCTTCAAGATATAAATTAAATAGAAACGAGAACGCCAAATCATTACTTAGTATCAGGCAAGTTGAAGGTAGCCTAATATTTTTGTAATTTACTACCGGACTTAAATATTCATATGTATTATTGTTTCAAGCTATTTGAACGTACAAAATCATTGATAATGACATATGTGTATCGATAATCAAATATTCAATCTTTTCCAGCTCTGGGTACAGCGATGAACTTGGCGACCTCTCTTGTAAAATTCCCACAGAAGAGCTTGCTGGCGGATCGCACTTCGGCATATTTTGCCATGTTCTCGCCAAAAAATATGGAGGAGGCGTTGCTATTTGAGAAGGATAACTCTTCGCACTTGATATTTGAAGAAGGTGTTCCAGGCGCCAAGAAATTCATCGAACGTGGAATCGGAAGGCACGGGAAGTTTTATGATATCACGGCGAAGGATAACAGCATTCGAGAATTAGATGAAAATTTACTATAAGAACTAACACATAGATATATATGTATATATAATGTACGCAATGTTCTTTTAGTACAACTTTAAAATAAGCAACTATATTTCTTAATTTTCATAATATATTTCTGTCAGTGCGACATATTGTATATATTAAAAATGTCATTTAATATATCAAGTGTGTCTATTGTGGATTTATTTTATGGATTCGTACATATTTTACACTACAGCTGTAATTGTAAAGTAATATTCTTTATTTATTATGCGTTATTCTTTTTGAGCGCAGACTTAATAGTTTTTCGCAATGGTCTTTGGATCTTGGATAGCATGTCGCAATATTTTTTGGCTGCCTTGGTAGTAAGAAGCGGTGTAAGATTTGTCATTTGCCCGCTCTCATCCCCTGAAAAAGATTTTCTGTAATTCTAATTTATTAAATAATTGTCACGTCATTATTTACGTTCAAAGGTGACAATAAAGTATGCTATATCTGATTGAAGAATATCCGTTCCACTTGTACAAGGTTCGTAAAAAGACACGTTCCTCAGTTGGCAATTTACTTCGTCGCACAAATCAAATTCGCCTGGAACAAAATGTTTCCTATAAAATTTTTACGCTCATCTTAATAACTAAAAGATCACGTTGTAACTTATCAGAATCGGCATTGCATGATATATCGGCGATAAAATCAATATTTTCATATAACGCTTTATATACTTAATTATATAATTAATATATTTAGAGATTTGGATCTTTTATTTACACGTACTACTGATACGTGCAATTTTTCTTATATAATTTAGTATCATCCTGATCGGACAATTTGCGTTCACCAACATTTCTCTGTCTGCGGATGTGGTTTCTGTACGTCCAACGTCATCGCTATTCGACAAGTGTTCTGTAATTATAACTGTACCATTATATAACCCACTTTAGGAAGATAATCGCGATTTCATACCCACATATTTAACCCTTATCATCGTCGTTATGTCAAAAGTCTATCCAACATTGTAAAATGAGACAAAATTGATGGCACATTCTTTTTTTTTTTTTAGACGAGAGCGATTACAATTTAAGTGCAAGCAGTATAAATTTACAGTAATATTGTGCAGCGTTCTCATTTCTGTTCTACAATTCAGGCTGCATAGATTTTCGGAAAAAAAGAGAATTGTATTTTTTTAAAGCTTGCATTCCCTCTTTTTATTTATTTCAGAAATGTGGAGAGCCGTCAATTTTTGATCTCACACGAGTCAACTTCGAGCCACACACAATTCTAGCTTATTAGTGTGTGACCTTTCGGATTCATTGCGCCTCCTTTATTGATTTTACTTATTAGAATTGCTCATTACGACACATACTTTCACTTTTTTACTCTTACATTGTGGCTGTTTCTAACCCGGGGATCGCCCCCGTAATTTACGCAGTCTAGAAATATCGATGATGATCGGTACTTGCGTCCGTTACCGATCCCCCTATTCATTAGTACGTTTGCTTTGCGAGTTACACGCGATAGCCAGAACTATATAAGTTTTCTACGAAGTATAAGGAGTACGAACACAGCCTATCTACACACATAACTCGCTTGGGGCCGAAAATGGTTAACTTTTTCGTCACTTGTGATGTTGTTCTCACATCAAGAAATTATTGCAAGTAGTATTTCACAAAAATGTACAGTTTTATAAAAATTAGTGCAAAGCTTTACTAGATTTAAAAATTTGAGAAATAACAAAATCTCAAAGAATTAAAATATCTGCTTACTTGTAGAATATTACAAGAATTAACAAAAGTGTTTCAATTCTAGCATTTCATGTTGATTTTTATAACATTTTTAAAATTTACGTAGAATTTCTTAGACTCTGGCAGTATATTTGATTTTTTGTAGAATTTTGTAGAATTATTTCCGGCAGGGATTATCGCAATGAAGAAATAACTTCGAGTCCGCTAGCTTTGATTCCTGGATGTACAGATCTCATGTGTGAATCGCGCTAGATATCTGTCTTGCTGGCTAATCGATGGCAAATCACGGGGATTCGGCGATCACGCGACACGATATCGATCACCAATTCGCAGAGAGCGATCGCGATTTCTTCCCGCACTTGTCGCGAACGCGTATCAAGAAAGAATAATACGGTATGTAGAGCGGCGCGAATATAATCGATTCATTATTGTATACAATTTATTTGTCACTGTATGAATGAAAGGCGTTACCTTTTTTTGCCGAGCGCCGTTGACCGAGCGCGGATTCCAAGAAATGACGTAGCGCATATAGCCCGAGCGTTGTAAACAACTCGGTCGAAAGCCGAGCACGGATTCCAAGAAATGACGTAGCGCCGTGAAAAACCCTCGCCCCTCGGTCGAAAACAAACGATCATTCGGCGCGGTTCAGTCGAACGGAGCGGATGTTCTGCGTGTGTCTTCGCGTCGCTCGTCGTAACGCGATCATTTCCTATCGATCTCGATCGTCTCGTACGAAGATATTAACAGTGTTCAATCGCGTGTAAGTAATTGTCGAGATCCGTAATCATATCATTGATTTCTACGACGATTTGTCAAAGTGAATATCACGCGTGACGCAAAGGGAAAGTGCGATAAGCGTATAACCTAAAGTTTCCATTTTCGTCGCGTTCGGGAGTGCCGTTTAATTAATCGAAACAAAGACTTTTCAAAGCCCATTTGAGGAACAAGTATTCGTTAAATGTGCGTTCCTGTCGATGGCCGCACTTTCGAGAATTGACAGTTTTTGGGATATAATACTCGTCGACTCAAAGTGGAGGCGAACTTGACGGAACAGAATACCTTCAAACGGGCTTTATAAACGGGAGTGTAAAATCGCGCGAACGATCTTTGTGTTTTCGCGAGTGTGCCAAAGGATCAATCTGAGTGGATACAATCTGAGTGGAGGAGGAGGCCGTGGAGAGGCATCGGGCGCCGGCGGAGCAACTTTACGGTAAATGTTATTTTTAATTTTGTGTAAAAGTAATCTTTTTCAGTTCATTTTTGAGTCGTTTTCTTTCATAATTCAATCATTTCGAAATAACAATTAGTGAACAAGAAAGCCTTAACAATTTTATATAAGCTTATTCTCGTGAAGATCTTTCGCGAAGAATCTTTCGCGCGTTAATCGTTTATACATTTAATCGAATAAAGTTTGACACGCATAAGAATTACTTATGCGATGACTATATTTTGCAAATATATTTTACAATATTAGTTTTTACATTGAACACTGCTTTAACGAATTCTATATTTGTGTTGCAGACTCAACGTAGCCAACTCCGCTGCTGCGCATCGGGTCGGTAAGTGAGTAGTTTTTTTATTCAGGTAACGAATCTCGTAGATCGTAGAATATACATCATAGATTGATATATATTCTGGAGACTCGTTGCCTAAAAATGGATAGATTACGACATAATTTCATGTTTACTTTAATGTATTTCATCTATCGAATGGATGTGATCGCGATTGTCATTGTAGAGGGTTCAGTGCTCCTTGCAGCACGTTACATATTTTCACGCAGAATATGACGATGTATTCGTCGAGCTAATCTCTTGTAACTTATTCTATCCATTTTTCAGTAGCAAATTTATACATGTATGTAAAGTCAAAAACTATGACGTGAGATCCGAATATTTTGTCGAGACCGCTGAAACTTTATATTATTTTCATACGTTAATTGAGATTATTAATTAACTAGAATGTTCAATTGTATCTACCTTTTCTCTGGGTCTCACGTCATTTATTCTGTATGCGTATCTCGCGATATTCTTTCAAGATGTGTCTCGCATGAATACATGCATATAGTTACACGCATCTTCATATTTTCGCGGTCGGTCTTCGTGATCGGTTTTCAAAAAAATTTTCAAGAAGTTATTAATTGTTTAATTTTGTCCAAATTATAAATTGTAATTTATCGCGAAATGTAAATAAAATAAATATAACGGGAAGTAAATTGTTTTTTTTAATATACATACAATATATACTTGAATTTCGAATTTGAATAAATATAACGGAGGTAAAAATATATTTTATTAGTTTTATACAGCAAATTTTTTACATTAATTTTCTTATTTAATTAACTTCTCGTGATCGTGCATTTCGATACGATCGACGCTCGCATTGTATAGTTCGAACCGTACGAAATATCTGTCGGTGACGATAATAAACCGACTATGGAAGGAGTTTTCTTCCTTCCTGATCTCTGGTCAAAATGACCAGACTGTATGGCCAGGAGCAACGAATGGTAGGTCCAATCTGGCCCGACGATGGAATACGACGCAGTAAGTGGTCAATATGGACCACTTTGATGGAGTCGTGTACGAAATAAGTTGATTTCTTCTTATTTGTTCTTTTTATTGTGTCAAATTTTGGGTGGGTTATATTCTTACCTCCTTTACATATTCTCGCATATGTGCGAGATTAAAAAACTTCTATTAAATCTCTATTAAATCGCGCGCGGATAAATCCAAATCGGACCTCTTATACATCGCGTCGCAGTTTTAACGAAAGACTTGCAGATTTATTTACAAAAAGTTGAAACGCGAATAGGTATAAGGAAAATGGATAAGACTATACAGCGGAATACGGGTAGGCAGGGACAGGGGGACATAATTCCATAATTAAAAAGATAGATAAAATTATAACTGCAATGTATTACCATTAAATATAATTATTTTTACCATTATTTTTGGTCATATGATCATATGTTTAGCCAATGCCCAGTGAGAAATGATTCGTCGATCGACGTCGAAACGACGTCGAATCGACATCAACACCGTCGAATTGACGTCGATTCGACATCATTTCGACGTCGATCGACGAATCATTTCTCACTGGGTGGTGGTTATATTAAAAATGCATTAGCCGATATTGTCCAACGTAAAGCCAATATTGGCCGTAGAATTAATATAAATATTGCACGATATATAATTATTATATAATATTAAATTTATATTGAAAATGCATTGGCCACTATTTAACAATGTAATAAGAATATTGGTCCAATATTGATGTAATATTAAACCAATATTGTGCAATAGACATATTGGCTAAATAAGAGAAGGCGTCCATCTTACAATATTGGACTATTATTGGACTGTTACGGTGAGACAATATTTGACTTATTCACAATCAGTTATTTTCTCGAAAGAAATCTCCGGAATAGTTTTGTCGCATGTATTGCAATTTCTAGATATTTTAAACGTTTGGAGTTCTCATAAAATTATAACTGCGATGTATTACCATTAAATATAATTATATTTACCATTACTTTTTTGGTCATATGATCATATGTTTAGCCAATGGTGGTTATATTAAAAATGCATTAGCCGATATTGTCCAACGTAAAGCCAAATAAACGCATTTATTTTACTATATGTATAAATTATTTTTATACTTTAAAATTTCTTCGATATTTCTTTGACTTGTTGCATACACATCTTTCATCTTGCGTTTGAACAATTTTTTCATAGAGCAAGTATTTTACGACTTATTTAAGGTCGTTGTCGTATTCCTATTCAATATACATAATTGTATTTTAGTTTTGTATTTATTCCTGTAAAGAGTAATTGTCTATTTTTGACATCAAGTAACCATCAAAATGACAGTTTAAATCACCATCAAGGCATGGGACGTTTTGCAGTCAAATTATCATCATTTTGTCATTATTTTGACCACTCATATCCCCTCATCAATTTGATGGCATTTTCACATCAGTTTGATTAGGCTGTTTTCGCTGGGGTGTTGCTAGGGGAAGGTTCATCGTAGATTAAAGGGCGTGGGCTGCCCTCACCGGAAAAGCTTTCCTTCTTTGTGGATATCCCTGGCGAACGTCCTGTCTGTTTCGGACTACGGTTAATGTCGAGCTTCTTTCCTCTCTCTGTCTTTCCTCTCGTGAGAGACTCATCTCCATAATGCCCGTTGTTATCTCGACTCGCTCCTGGTCGTGGTTGCCGCCTCTGATTCCTTTGCTCTTGACAGGTACTTACGAAGGTAATGCATCAACCACGAGGTACCCTTTTGTCCCCCGTTGTCGCGACCGCTCGAAAAAGCGACGTACGACAATTTATGTTCTGAACGGAGCGTGTCCATATTCCATTTCGTGCTAAACACAAAGGTACCAATGCGGGCGACACACGAAATCGTCTGATCCGTGTACTCTCCCGCGCGACCTTTGAAGGCGACTCCAAAAGGGTTCACTTGGAGCACAGTCGAATCGGTCTGAAACTTAACGAAGTCGAATGCAAGAGACCAAACGTAATGAGCGAACGGATCGATCCGCGAATCCGATTCCCTCCGTAACTTGGTGTTTCAAGGGACACCGGGCTGCATACAAAGCGACAGTATAAATAATCCTAGATCGAGCCGCGGAGCACCTTGCGGGAATACAAAGCGCACGCTGTTGCGCGACTCGCGCCGTTGTTTACGCGTAGACGCGCTGCCCATTCCCTTCCCTCTCCCCCGCGAGAAGCAGCCGGTTCTCTAAATTCTTGGCACACGGTTGCACGTTGTCCTCGCCGTTGCGACGACCTATATGTCTAAAAGAAGAACGGCCGGCCGTACGCGAAATCGTTAACGAGGCAATTCCCGGAGAGGCGCATTCGTCATCCGCCCGTCAGCTGTCGAGAGACGCGGTGCGCCCGTTCCTGTACAATTTCTTT